AGTGAAAACAAGTATTTCTTTAAAAAAAAAAAAAAAAACCAAACTAAAAAAAAAAAAGGCTGCATGTTAGATGAGCAGATACAAAAGGCACCACTAATTCCATCGCTAAAGACTGTCCAGATGGGTTCCCCAGGCAGCTGATTGCAAGACGCAGAGATCTGCGATAACCACGAACCGCAAATGCTCTGCAAATCTAACGGCATGTGGCAAAAAGCAGGAAAAACCCAGAGACCCCCCCAGGCCCAGGCAGGAGGTGACAGCAGGGATGTATCTCCAGCAGTGCCGGCACCTCCGGGAACTCCGTCACCTCCCAGAGTGGAGCCGTCCTCCCAGCACCAGGCTCACAGAGACGCCATTGGGAAATGTTTCGAGCTGTAAATGAAGTGAAACAACAAAGCAAAAGTGAAATTTAGTCTAACAAAAAAGATGTCCTTCTCGGTTCCAGTTGCTCACTGTTTCACCAGAGGAGTGATTAATCACCAGGACTGTGTTACAGGCGATTCAGCAATTGCTGCAATGCAGGGGTTTTGTTTGTTTGTATTAAGGAGAAAGGGAAAAAAAATCCTGATTATTATTTAGCTCCCAAAATTGGGTTTCTAGAGCTTTATGAAATTCTTCCTGGTTTAGGATGCTAAGGCCTGACCAGACTCGCAGTGCCAAGGCAGCAGCAAGTTGGCATCCCCGGACCTGACTGCGGAAAAAGCCATGCACGGGGCAGTGCCGTGAGGCCAGGGGTGCTCCGAGTCCCCGACCCCATGGCTCACGCGCTGGTACAGAGCAGCACCTCTCCTACGGGAAGGATCGGTGCTAGAGGAGCTCACCACGCAGCTGCAGACAGCCTGACGGGCCAGGGTGTGCTGATGTGCCGATTAGCAGTGTTTTAGTCCAGCCGCTGCAATCTCCTCCCGCGGGCACTAAATTTTGCTTTGAGAGTGCTTTAGCTTAAACCCTATGGAAAATTGAAACAAGCCTGCTGTAAACCCAACTGAGGGCATTCACCTGTGCTCAAACACGGCAGGTTTGCCCATGCGCCTTTCCTTAAACAAGAACGATGCTGCGTTTGCGGGAGAATGGGGTGAACGCGAGGGTCTGCAGCCAGCGAAGGCGGCAAAGCTAAAAGCACCAGTGCTGCGATGCAGAGGACTAACCCAACTCTAACGCACCTGCTTGCAATATTTGAATTCCCAGCTTTTGCCAAAGCAAACTGGCTGCAGAGCGCAAAATGTGCCAGAGGACACGGTCAAAACTCCAGTGTCCACAGAAAGCCACGGCTGTACTTAAGCGTCTGAGACTCGACTCAAAAAGGTGTCAATTCTTGCAAGCAGCCAAGGAAGATAGTTCTTTATCCTGACAGTTTTTAAAGAGGATTAAAAGAAAAAAAAAAAAAAAGCCCATGGGGGAAAAAAAAAAATCAAAGCAAGGCTCACAGTCTCCAGCAGCACACCCACAAACCGTGCTGCCCTCCCCAGCTGCACCCTGCTGCACTTCCCCGGGCAGAAAACGCTCTGCCCCAGCAGCGAAGGCAGCCTTGCAGAGCAGCCACCTCCTCCTGCCTTACCAACACCTTCTCCTCACCAGACACATCCATTTTCTCCTTTTGGAGCAGACCGCCAAAGTCTGTGCTCTTCGAAGAGCATAGGAGGAACGGGAATGGGGCTGTGGGGGACCAGCACGGCAGCACAGGCAAGTGCAAAGCACAAACTCGATTGCAGAAGACTGCTAGGAGAATCAATTTCGTATTTTAACATTCATACAGTGCTAAAACACATCATTTTACAACAAAAACATTTTCACATTTGTAACAGCGTACTTCAACATTTATACTGCATTTTTCACCCCAAGAGTTCAAAGCATTGCATAGGCACTGAGGTCCACGACACCACCTACCACCGCGTGGAGGTAGGTAACAGGTATCATTCCTATCAGCAAAGGAAAACACAAAGGGGGAGCAGGGGGGGAGAAGGGTTTGCATAAAGTCCACGGCAGACACAAATTCAGCCACTCAACCCCATCAAGCACAGTGCGGGCAGGTGGGCTGGCTGATGCACGACAAATGAAACACCATCGCACTGGGAACTGCTCTGTATTTTAAATCAATGCCTTCTGCAGGAAAACAGCCCTTTTCATCAAATTTTCCTGACTATTTTGTTTCAGGTCACAGGAATCTCAGCATTTGCCCAAATCGCTGGGTTTTACCCTCAGTCCAGCAAAGCAAAAAGGTCCCTGGCAAATTTTAACTACGTGAAAAGTTCAGGTGATGCTGGGAGTTTCGCCGCATCCCGAACCTGGCGGGGTCACCCCTCCGGCAGAGAGGTGCCACCCCGCAGCCCCGGTCCTGGCCCTGTCGAACAAAGACTGCGGGTGGATACAAAGGAGGCGTTTAGGTAAGTTCCCCATTGTTCTTTTGTGCTGTGCTTCCTGACACCGCACAGCACCCAGGCTCACGTACCGCCACCGTTTCTATGGTGAGTGCTCGTCCAATTTCAGTATTAGGCTACGAAACCGCCCAACAGGCCCATTTTCTCGTTTCAGCATCCTTCTGCAGAACAAATAGCAGCAAGGCAAAAAAAAAAAAAAATAATCAGCGGGATCCCGCAGTCACGACAAGCCTGAG